GGAGATGTTTCCTGTACCTCTAGCCCCCTAGTTCTGTCTTTGTCTCCTGTGTGAGTCCTTCTTCACAAGAAGAAAGTTTGCAGGGCGGGCCAGTGCTAACCAGCTGGGGTCCTCCCTCACCTTGCAGAGCTGGAGTTGATTGCTAGCCCTGACAGACTGTGGGAAGGCAGGAGACAGCTTCTGCAGTTTCCCCCTTTCTGCAACAGGGAAAGGGGGAAACAGTGGGGAGGGGGATGCCCAACTGCTCTGCTGCCTCATCAAGGGACAGTAACTTAGCATGTTCTGTAAAACAAGTCACCAGCGACTCACAGCTGAGGCTAGGCTCTGGCTCTGGCTGTGTAAAGGTAAAAGAGTTTCTAGAAACTGCATCAATCAGACCTGTCTCAATCCAGCTTCTTTGCCCTGACTTTGGACTTCTTCATGACGTAAGCACTTTTGAACCAGATTCCAGTTCTGTTGGCTTGGAATCTTATCACCCGTTATCTGGGCGGTTAAGACCTTGTTTTCTGTCATATCCGTGTTTGTACTCACCACCCTGAAACCTTAGATCTCAGAACCTACAACTGCTAGGCTCATACTCTGGAACGGTGACAGGATGCTATGGTGAAATATGGCCCAAGATTAGAAGGTGAAACCAAAAGTCTTTGAACCATGCTCCCTCCTTCCTCCTGAAGCATTAAGAGAAAGGGAAGTAAAATAGGTTATTTTGAGACATAAAGACTTCCCATGAAAAAGAAGGGTGTGGCGGCTGACCCAGCGGGCTCAATGTTTTTGATGATGGATGTTGTTTGTAGTTTTCTTTCTGTTTTTTTAGGATTATAATTTTCTAAATAAAACTTATTAAAAAAAAGACTTTCCATGAGCAGTTGCTTATGTACTGTGTTTTTGGGACTGGCAGGAATTGTCCTTAGAAAGCAAACGTTCCCTGCATACTCCAAAAATCGGTGGCATATCTTGCTTTACCTGTGGACTGGAAAACAACTCACTGGTTCGCTTTAAGTTAAAATATAGTCACCCAGGTGCAGCAGTATGGGAACTCAGTGACACTTTTTGAGGCAGGTGCTCCGTCTAGCCATGAAACCAAAGGCCTGAGAGGCCTCTGTGTTGCCTAGCTGGACTTGCCAGTAAGCTGGCTTCACTGCCCCATCCAGGTCTTCCTTCTGCACTGCGGGCTTTTTCAACTGAGCTCCAAGGGATCTCAGCCTGTCACACTGAGGTTTAATTTGCCCACCTTCCTTAGCCTTCTGTTTTGTGGGGAGTGGAAGAGCAGAGGTAGATGGGCAAAGGCCCCACAGCATGAGGTGCTGTTGCTGCTCTCAGAATGGAGCTGCTTTAGTATGGAGGGACCTAGTCAGGCTGCTGCTTACTTCCATTATTATAATTTATTAATTTCATTACTATATTGCCCTACAGTGAAGCTCTCTGGGCAGTTTACAGCAATGACTAAACAAAACAAAACAAAACATAAAACAATGTTAAAATGAATTTAAAATAGCTTTAAAGGTTAAACCGTCCCAAGACCATGGTAAGGGACAGTCTAGAAAAGTTTTAAATAAAATTATAAAAAGTATAGTTAAAATACCCTGGAAAGAAAAAGAACCACCTGGATCATCCTCTCAGGTCCCTGGGTAACCAAGGAGATCTTTGAATGCCTCTGCATAAATAGATGTCTTAACCTGATTCTGAAAAGATGGCAAGTTTGGTACCAGGTAGGCCACAGCAGGAAAGTTGTTCCAAAGATGCAGAGGAGGCATTACAGAGAAGAAGGCCCTCTCCACTGCTAAAGCTAGGCACTAGGCAGAAGGTCCCAGAGGTAGTGAGCACAGTGTCTCAGTAGATCCTGGCTGAGGGAGATGTTCTGACAAGTATTGTGTTCCCAAGCCATGTAAGGCTTGGCTTTATAGGTTAAAACCAACACCTTGAATGGGCCTAGAAGTATGCAGGCAGCCAATGCAGGCAAGTCAGAACTGATCTCTCGTGTTCAGATCTAAGAGTCCTGATTAATACTTTGGCTGCTGCATTCTGCATGAGCTGCAGCTTCTGAACCATCTTCAAGGGCAGCCTACTTAGAGTGCATTGTAGTAATCTAGTTTAGAGATTAGGTTCGATTAGATTAGAGAGTGGATTACTGAAGTCAGGCTATCCTTGTCCAGATGGGGGCAAGCTGGGCCACCACCTGAAGCTAGCAGAAGGCACCACTAAGGCCATGTGGGACTCAAGTGCCAAAGGTGGATGAAGGAGAATCATGAAGCCACACATCTGTTCCTTCAGAGGGAATTCAACCCCATCTAGAAAGGTAAAATGCCTTCCATCTGCTCAAGGGATCCACCCACCAACAGCATTTCAGTTATGTCTGCATTGAGCTGTGACATTTTTTGGCCCTCATCCAGTCCCTTCTCAAAGCCAGGAACTGGTTTAGCCCATCCACATCCTCATCCGTTGAAGATGAAAAAGGGAAAATAGAAATACCTTTGCCTTACAGGGTATTTCATGGTGCCTGTTAATCTCATGCGTCTCTTCCATCCAGTGTTCAATTTACTGATCATCAGTTCTGCCTGAGTTACTCCTTTGTGGCTGGAAACTGGAAGTAGGGAAAGGTGAGACAATCACAACAGCCTCTGTTGCTGCTCTCAGAATGATGTCTTGCCTGGAATTTGGGAGGGAATAGCTGCACCCGCTTGCCTCTATGAGTAGATGCCCTTGTTCCTGCCTAGTCTTTTCCTTTTTGTGCAACAATTGTTTCTCCTGTCCTTCAGTAACTCTTCTTAAAAACCAGTGCTTTGCTTTGCTAGGCTCTCCTTTACCTCCTCCTCCTAAATTTAAGCTTTCTGCTGACACAGAGGGAGTCAGACCCTTGATCCATCTAGCCCACTGAGTGACTGTGGCTCACCAGGTTTTCAGGAAGGATTGTTTCCGAGCCCTCCCTGAAGATGCTGGGGATTCAGCCTGGGACCTTCTGCATGCCAAGCACATGCTTTGCCCCTGAGCTACAGCACTTCTTTTTCCTAGATAATGGCAACTGAGCAACAAAGGTTCAAATTCCTCCTCCTGGACCCGCTTGTCTCAAAAGCCTGGGTGAGAAGGAGAAAAGCAAGCCTCTTCATCTGTTTGCATTAAGTCGAGAGTTCAAAACTTTTCTTGTCCCAGAAAGGAAGTTCTCTTTGAGAATTCCTCAAGACATGCACTGGATGAAATAAAGGAAAGAAAGATCAGAATAGGGAAGAAAAGAAGAGGAAAAGAAGAATGCTGATTGGAAATGGAGGAGAATAAAAAGTTAGAATTCCCCAATCGAGATGTAGCACTTCGGGGGAATTTAGGAGGTTGTGGAGTATTTGACAAGGTTGTACATGCTTAACGTTATGAGGTGACTTGACTTTTTACTGCTTTTTCAAAACTGTAAGACCTGTTTTATTTATTTATTTATTTATTTATTTATTTATTTATTTATTTATTTAGGACGCTTCTATGCCGCCCCATTCGCCAAAGCCTCGGGGCAACTCACAACAATAAATAACAACAATATAAAAACAATATAATTGGAGACGTCCTGGCCAAAGATGTAAAATCAATAAATAATATTAACAATTAAAACAACATTTAAATAGACAGGTCTTGGCCTGGTGCTGAGTTTTAAAGTCCCAGTGTTCCTGCATTATGATGGCACATAGTTCTAACCCTCATCTTGTTATAACCTGAAGTTTGCAATGATTTGGGAGAAATTAAATTGAATGGGGGGAAAGTTTTTAGAGACTAATCAGATCCTTGGCTGTGCTTCTGCTAGCTAAGAAATGTGGCAATCTCTCCTCTATTTAAAAGGCAGGTGTATTCATGCTACACTCCTGATTGCTCAGCTAAGGGAGTTGAGTACTAAGTTACTCCTGGTAACCACAGGGGTATTGAACTGCAGAGCTGTGGAGTGAAGCTGACATCCTGAGTAGAGGTGGAAGATCACACTGGGGCAGCTGTAAAGATCTAGGGCACATGTGTAGGTATGCCTATTGCAAAGTCAGATCACTGGTCCATCTAGCTTAGTATTGTTGGCTCTAACTGGAGGGCAGGGGTTTGTTTATTGAGCCTTGCCTGCAGATGCTGAGGACTGAACCAGTGACCGTCCACTTGCAGAGCAGGTATCTTTCCATTGAGTTATGATCTGGCAGCCTTGTGAGGCAAAGGTACAATCTGCTTGCAAATATTTGCAAGAAAAACATGGGTTTTTCACTAAATTTTGGTGTGGGCACTCCTAAAAAAACACATAACAGTTCACACCTCATAGTTGAGGAATACTTGGAGCATGCAGTTGTGGAAGATTTGGCACAAAAGTTTTACTATTTTTCTCTGTGCTCTGAACTGTTACTTTCTATTTTACTAATTGCTAAATCAAGCCAATACTCATTCTTTTCCTAGTGTTAGGCAGCTTGGCACTCCCAAGCACATCTGTGTTGGATACTTACTCTGTTATCTCTGCATGTGTGAAATAAGTGGCTTAAAAAAGCAAAGTAAATACTGATGAGAGGGATAGAGTAATTCACTTTTCATGTTGCTTAGTAATGGCTGAATAGCTAGACAAGAAAACACTAAGGGAGGGAGATGAGTGATGCAGACAAATTACTGGAAGCACTGAAGAAAATAGGACAGGTCTTGGGCAGGTTTCTATTTTTATATGACATAATGTGTTGAGAAGAAAATTGTATTGCTTGGCAACTGAATTGTGGAGCAGCCTGATGTTTTTCTTCCAGAGTGACTATTACTTCTGGAACTTCTGTTTGCAACTAGTTGAGTAATGTTGCAACATAAAAAATGGAATGCATCCTTCTCTTTTAGTCCATTGGTTGAGCAACTAAACAGAAGCACAATGTTTCTTTTAAAAATTGTGTTGGGGGGAAGATTGAAACACTTTTTTTTTTTTTGGTAGGAGACATTTTAAAGTAACTTATTGTTGTAAGCATGTTGTTCCTGTCTCTCAATACCTATCTGCTAACATTGTTTTTGTTTCTAAAAAGATTTTAGCAAAGCGATGTCTCAGGCTGGTACTTCCCCATTCCAGGAAGCAATTAGACAAGAACTGGAATATTCCATGAAAGGAGAACTGGACAAAATACTTGCAACTGCACCACAGAATGAAGTAGAGGTAGGGAATGAAACAAAATTATGCTTATGAGAAAAATACTGTATTCCTCTTCATAAAGGTTTGCTTTCAAAATGGTGGCATATTTGAAATTTAGACAGATGAAAGTTTTCATGTTAAAAATGGGACAGATGTCCTTGGAGTTGCCAAGCAAATAGGAGAATGATAATAGAATTTGGTAGGGTCCGCTTATGAATTCTGATGTCTTTAAGCATGATATGGCCCATAGGACAACATACAATACTAAGTTACTACTTGTATGTAATTTACAATTTCACAATTTTGGATGTATTGCTTTCTATTTTGGTCTAGTGGCAGAGCAGGAGTATGTCCTTTCTTGCAAGGTGCTTGTGGGGATGCTTCCTTGGCTTCTAATATAACATTATGGTGTCTAGGTAAATAATTCAGTAGGACCTAGTTGACACCTGTTGGATTTCATGCAGTGGAAATGATAATTGTATGTTTAATAACTGGGTGGATGGACAAATGAAGCTCTTTGTCCAGCTGATGTTGACATGGGCTAGTTGACTGTGATGGCCATCCCCTAACTGTGGGGGGGGGGGAATCCATAAATAACTTTTCCAGTACATGCCCTTTTAACGTTAGAGTTGTAAAATAGCTTCTTTCAGTGGTGCTTGCGCAACAGCTAGTGGCAGTTTATGAACTTGGCTGACATGCTTTAAAAAAGGTCTACCTTCATCCTTTATCTTTTCCAGCACACTAAAAAAGACCTAGAAGGGTTTAAGAAGCTCTTTCACAGATTTTTACAAGAAAAAGGACCTTCTGTTGACTGGGGAAAGATCCAGAGACCTCCAGAAGATTCTGTAAGTTGCAACCGAATGATGTGACTAACCCCTTCCATAGTGTATTTCATTGTGTGCGTTATTCCAGACTTCCTACTCACCCAAGGATTAGCCCTGTCAAATCTAAGCAGCAACAGTTGAAATCAATGAGAAGAAACCAGGCCTGTATCAACTAACGTTTTTCCTACAGGTACATTATAGTGGAAGCATGAAGTTATTATAAGATGTCACAGTAGCTCACTATTCACAAGGATACAAGAGATACTGTAGAGAGAGCTTTGAGCAATGTCTGCAATGTTAGCTCTGGGTGGAGATGGTTTCCAGAAAACATACCCTGGAAATAAGAAAATATCCACAGGAGCACTTAATCTCTCAGAAAGTCAGGTGTCCCAGCAAACACCATCTCTTTCCTTCTGCTTTGTAGCCTTTGTTAGAAATAAGGGTTACCATCAATCCCTGCAGAACAGCTTAATGTTAGGAAAGACTTGATTTTCTAGAAAACCGGAAAGTAGCAGGTACTTGTGAACAATATGAACTGCATTGTAACTTGACAGGCAAATTTTTAAAAAATGACCCCCATTGTAACAACTAGCTATTAGCAACTGTGGATCTTTCAAAGGTTTCTCCAGGCCTCCCCAAAACTCAACCCATCATTCCTGACTATGAGCTGCCAGGTAGAACCAATGGGACTTGGAGCTTAAAATATTTATTTATTTATTTAGAAAATTTCTATGCCGCCCCATTCGCCGAAGCCTCGGGGTGGCTCACAAAACATTAAAATATAATACATTAAAAATATAAAATGAATTTACAATATAAAATAAGTCGCCCTGGCCAAAATACCTGGAAAGTACCAGGTTGGAGAACCTCTCTAGTATAACCAGTACAATCTTAAAAGATGTTAATGTTATAGCCTTTCATATTATTACAATGTTCATACATGACGTTTAACATCTATTAGAACAATTTCCCTAATTACGTCATTGTTCCCTGTTGTGTTCCTGTTGTGACTCCTGTTGTGTTCTTCCTCTAATACAGCAAAATTATTTCTGTTTGGATGACATAAAAGTTTAAACTCTTTCATTTTTATATTCAGTTGGTTTGTGACTTAAAAATAATGGCACTGATCTCTCAAATATAAATCTATGTTTAACTTTTGTCCATGTTCAGAAGAAAAAAGCACTGCTATAATGTATTTTGCACCTGTAGAGCAATTTCTAGATGAAACAGCTTATTTTTTAAAGCAATTATAAATGAAAACAAATGCAACCAATTGAACATGCTTCCATTTCATCTTGGTTTTATTCCATCCCCCCTACCAACCTTTATTTTGATCCCTGGTCTTTTATCTTCAGTAGGGAGAAAAGATAGCTGTGTTTTAACTTGAAGCATACCTTTGTAATTAGTCCGTATGCTCAGGGATCATGAAAGCTCCTTTGAATGGAGAAGCTTGCCAAATCACTGCTTCACGTCACCAGCAATCATAGAGAACTTGGCCTGCAAACACTGATCATATAGGTATTTGTAAAAGTTGTTATCTGTTCTACTGGGTTATTGTTCAGGATGCAATAGGTGCAAGCAACTAAAAGAAAATCACTAGATTGTAAGTAAAGAGATGTGCATCTAGTGAAACAAGCAGAAACAGCACCTGCTGTTCGGATTATCAGGTCACTCTTAATGCTTTGTATTTGTAGGGTTCACTGGTAAGAATGTTGCATATTTATTCTGAGGAAAGCACCTGTGTGTAATTTACAAATGCATTTTAGTTATAGTTACTCAAATGTAAAACTTTAGCGCTTCCTTTATTCAGGTTTAGAAAGTGTGAGAAACACTGTGTTTTATTTTTCACCTTTTGTATTTTCATTAGTTCCTGTAATCCATGTCTATGCCTCATTCCTACCAAGTCATTTTATTTACCTTCTTGCTTTGAGAGTCAGGTGTAACTGCTCAGTATAACTATCAAAACAACTTCTGTGTCAAGAGGAAATACAGGGACTTGTTTTAAAACTCTTGCATTCTGGATTTTGCTAAATAACAAATTAAAAATGGTTTGCATATACAGTATTTCTCTGATTTTAAAAATATATCCAAAATCTAGAGAAATAAGTTTTTTTCAGAGGACAAGCATATTAACACTTCACTCTTATGCCTGTTTGTATAGAAATAACTCCACCTGTATTTGGAGTACACTGCTTAGTAAGTGTGTGTAGAACTGCAGCTTACCTGTGTCAACAGTCTTTTCTGAACAGCTATAACTCTCAGTCTTACCAATATTTGACGAAATTCACAGTCCTTCAGATAGAAAATTCTCCATTGCAGTGCAACTTTGGAGCATGCAGCACATTTCTCTGATCAGTGAACATTCATCTCCATTACTGTAGTTGTTAACATCTTCTTGCATAAACACAGTTTTTCTACCTCTTTTTTTCTTTGTTAATTTATATCCCTTAGTTTAACATACAAGACCTACTAGCAGTTATGTTTCTATAGTTATTCACTTTCTGTAAATGGTTTGTTCCTGGGATCCTATTAATAAAAGGAAACACCTTCTGTGGAGAACAGTGTGCCATTCTGCCTCTGATAAATTTCCATTGCCCTATTCATATGGCACACAAATTAGGTAATTAAGATAACTGCAGTTCATGGAAAAAATGTATGCTACTTCCTGGTTGCATGGGTCATGACTTAAAGTTGATTTAACAGTTTTACTTGTTCATTCCTAAAGAACCTCATGGCTCCTTCTCAGGAATTTTTATCTGAATTCAATGCCAAAGAATAGAAGTTGCATGTTTTAGTGTCACTGAACATACTTGGAAACATGATTTGATGAACAACATCTTCTTTCCCTTAAATGTTATAATAAAGAAGTTTATATGAATTATATCCATTATAGGTAACTAGTCTGCAATCCAGATTTTTCTGATAAGTACAGTTGAATCATTTCATGAGCAACATGGTTTTTCAGACATTCAGGCGTGCCTACTGAAGAATATCAAGGGATAGGCACACCACTAATGGAGCAATAGGCTATAAAGTCACTTAAAAGTTGAAAACATAGTAGTTGGGTGTGTCAGGGCATGGATCTTGGTGTAAGTCTCTAGTCTGTCTGGTGGGAGATCCTAGTAGAAGAAGCAACATTGGTAGAACCAGTATGCTTTGAGGACATGTCAGCTGCTTTCCTGTTTCAGAACCTGGCCTCTGAAAGAGACCTCCTGTTCCAAGCATAATTATAGCATGTCTCAAACCTTACAGCCAAATCCTTATCTGTAGCAAATTGCCAGCTCTGACAATGAAGGTACATACATTAGAGGCAAGACAGAAAGTGAAAAAAGCAATAGTGGCCAGCTGAATACTCCAGGGAAAAAATTCTTCCTGTCTCCAAAACCAGGGATCATTTTCCATCCATACCATATTGAAGTAAAGTTAACAAGGAAACACATGCTTCAAAGTGAGGCTAAGAGCTTAAGCCACGTTAAAAGGCTCGGGAGCCTCAGGGGATCAGACTTGGCTCCCATCTAACCTGATGCTGTTCTTTCCACTGTGCCTGTTCCCATGACAGAGCAGTCCATGTGTTAAACAGCCCATGGGAGCGTGAGTGGGGGAGAGTGTGCGTGCTGTTTGTTTCATCTGTGCCTGTCACTTCAACTTTTAATTGGCAGCAAATAAGCAGCTCTGTTCTAAGTTGCTGAGCATGTTCTCTGAACCCAGAATACTGGGTTGTTTAGGGGCTAGCTAATCTTGGGTCAGCCTTATCATTTTTCTTTTTTTGCCCAGGGCAAAATATCCAGGGGTGGAGTGACCTGTTTCAGCTCTAACAGATATTCTTTATAGACCTTCCATGAACCACATCATGGTTGCAAAGAAGGAAATTTTAGTCCTGCTTTTAGTATCTTTTATTTATTACATTTTTAAATGATATGTGATAACCAAAGTTCTCTAGGCATTGTACAGATAAATTAAAAATACAAGATAACAATAAAACAATTGCAAGAAAACAGCATGAGATAAAGCCAAGATAAAATCAGCAGCAAATATAAACTCTGGCACACATATTAAGACCAAAAGTAAAAGCAGTAGAGAGCATAAAAGAATAATAGAATCTGACAGCATTTAAACTAGTTTCTGTAATGATTGGGAAAATAAAAAAGACTTTTGCTGGTGTATAAAGATTGTAATTTAGACCTCAGGGGGAGCCTCTTTCAGGAGGCATTCCCTAGGCATTCCCTCCACCATTGAAGAGGCTCTTGTTCTGGTAGCCAGCTGCCAATGAACTTGCAAAATAGCATCTATAGAACAAACAAGCCATTTTTACTGCAAAATAATTGGTTTTTATGTGAAAGATTCACCAGGGAAGGGGAGTCAGTTACTGCAGTATGAAAAATTTGTCAACAAAATTAATTTAGTACTATCACTGCCAACCAATAGATTTAAAGCCAGCATGTCCTTACATTTAAGTTTTGCTACCTAGTTGTCAAGAACAAAGTTTCCTAATGTGAAATCACTGCAGCAACTAAGATTATTAAAGCCTTAAAAAATTAGCATACTTCTATTCAGGCAATTTTTTTTTACAAGCCGATAACGGTATCTGAAAAAATAACGAACACACAATGACTCAGAAGTATATACAACTGAAGAATAACATACTAATTGTCTAATTTTCCTGGATGGGCAGTTCAAAGCACATGACTCGCAGCTTAAAATGCAGTGAGAGGTTATCAGACAGTGTGATGCAGTACACCTGCTCTGAAGTACCTCTCCGCTAAGTGAGCAGAGGTACAGTTAACAGAACTAAAACACAATTAGAAGAACCTTCAGTTGAGATTTTCTTTGAAACATATTCTCTCTCAGAAGTATCACTGTAAATGTGGGCAATTTATTTTGTTATTTTCTTCTGATAAATGTGTGGGAGAGTGTGTGAAGAATGTGAAGCACTTCAGTGTCTGTGAATAATTACTAATATGGTTGCTTTGCTTCCAGATACAACCCTATGAGAAGATAAAAGCAAGGGGATTACCTGATAGTATTGCTTCGGTTTTGAACAAGTTAGTTGTAGTGAAACTCAACGGTGGCTTGGGCACCAGTATGGGATGTAAGGGTCCCAAAAGCCTAATTGGGGTACGAAATGAAAATACTTTCCTGGATCTAACAGTTCAACAGATTGAGGTGAGTAGCTTACTTGGTTATCCAAGAATAATAAATAATTCTTTGTTATTCTGGAACAGACTTTGGAAGATAACAGGGCTGTTGGGAGAGAAGAATGTGTTGCATCAGTGATGGTCTTCTGGTCCCAGTTATTAATCCGGCTGCCACAGATTTGTTCAAGCTGCAACTTCCAGTATTCAAGGGCAGCCCCACATAGAGTACACTGCAGGGTTCTATTTTATATATTGGATTTTTACTTTTTGTGAAATGTTAAAAGTATTCATTTGAATTAAAGAAAGGGGAGAAGTATTAATAGACCAAATATTTCGACTTAGGGGAAACGGAACTGAAACAGTAACACAGAAGATGTTATTTCCATCAGGTTTGGGAAGGCTGGCCTAGAGAGAAGGAAAACACACTATGCAGATTATGAGAACATACATTAGCTACAGGTACCAACCATTAAATGGGATATTTGCCATAAAGATTTAGGATTGCAATCTTGAATTATTTGATATTTAAAAGGTTGTTGTAATTATACATTTTAATATTTCTGAACAATGAAAAAGGTATTTCTTCAATATAAATGATACAAAGAATATTTAATTGATACAACTTTGAAAGAGGCATAAACTTTCAATTTCATTTAATTTCCAAACAGTGTTATATAACCTGGTATATTTTTTCAGCTAAAGCAATCTTACAATATTAACCATACATTTGTTTAAGTGTTAGCATGTTAGATATATTTATATCCTATGTTTTTCCTGCAAGAAACCTAAAGTGGCTTACATAATCTTCCTTTCAATTTTATTTTCACAAAAACCCAGTTAAATAAGTTAGGCTAATAGTTGGTGAATCACCCAAAGTCACCCCATGAACTTCATGGCTTGTGGGGACTAGAATCCAACTCACTGTAGTCCCAGACCAGTACACTAGCCACTGTGCCACAGTGACTCTCAGACAGATGGGTAGATACACATACACTTACATATATCCTAAAAATGTAAAATAAAGGATGAATCAACACAATATATAAGTTTGTTTCCTGTCAAAAACATTGATTTGGAAGAAACCTTGAATTTTGACAGCATCACTCTGTGCTCCAATAGCTGGGATGAGTTTAATTTCTCTACTTTGCTGAACACCTGGAGTCTCCAGAAAGGGTGGAAAGCTGAAGGGAGGACACTGAGAACAAAAGTAAACAAAAAGAACTCACCACGAAGGGGGTGATCTACTTGTCAGCCTATTTTGTGAGCAAAAATCTACTTACAGCTTTGCTTTTTACTTGACAGCTTGCTCATGGATAACTGTCAAATGAGAAGCAAAGCAATAGATTAATATATTTGTACGCTTGCTTTGTCATTATTCCTGGACAGTGCCTCTGGTATCACAAGTCAAGGGTACACTTTACACTTTTTTTTTTTTTTTTTGGAAAATGCAACAGCAGCAGCAACAAAACATTTTCACAAATCTCAGGTGCACACGCAAACAAAAATGGTGGTGAAACAGTGACAACTGCTCCAGTGTGCTCTTTGGGCACTTTGAAGTGGCCGTTGCTGGCTGTCATTTCAGAGGTTATGAAAAGGGCAGAAGAGAAAACAAGCCATGGTGACCAGAAAAGGTCAGTGCCACTGAGATTGCGTCAAAGTGCTGCTTGAGCATTTGCTGGAGCAGGTGCTGCTGCAAGGGGTGCTGTTTCCCTGTACCTGGGTTCAGACAACATGCCAACCCATTGTGGGTTGAAAACCCCTATAAAAACCATATATTTCCAGGGTGGCTTGTTGCCAACAGACAAGCCAGCCACCCTGTAAAAAGTGTTCTAGGTTCACATGACAAAAAATCCAGTGTGTTAGTTACCCACAATCAGTTACCATGTACTGAACCAATTACTCTTTTGTATCATTGCTTATCCAGGGAATCAACAAGGATTTACAACAAGGGATCATATACAGTCAGCCCTCTAGTGGAAAGCCATTAAAATAGCAACAACTGAAAATGTTATTTTCAGAATGTTTGGCATCAGTAATTTAACACAAATGGATATTTTAACACTGATGGAATGGAAGGGTTAGATATAATAGAAGGATTGTTTTAAGAAGCTGGTTCTTCATTAAATGATGGCTATTTTGTTCCACTAACTTACACGTATAAAGAAATTATCTTTATGGTTTCTGTATATTATCACTGGAAGATGTAGTATTTAAAATGATATTTGAATGGAGGATATAATGAAAACAGTAAGCAACCAGTTTGGTTATCGAACTACTTATTGGTTATTGAACAGGGCAACCATAATGGAGGCCAGTGATTCCAGGCCACAGTGATTGAGGGGGAGTCTTCAAAATATTTAAGAGAAAACATTAAGCTGCATCTGGATTTTATTTGCACGATTTGTACTATGTTTATTTATTTTATGTAAGCTGTCCCGAGGCTCATGCGATAGGACGGCATACAAAAATTCTAAATAAATAAATATTTAAGTATTTATTTGATTTTTATGTTGCCCCCCTCAGCCATAGGGCTCTCTGGGTGGTTCACAATATCCACCTTAGAGTCCTTGGAACTAATTTAATTGCAGAATACAAGTTGAATAAGTAAATATGTACAGCAATTAAAATAATACAATTCATAGTAGATTTAACAACTTGCAATATAAAACCAACAATAACAAAATCAATAAATGGAATAAAATAAGCAATAACATAAAATAAGATGAGATGGGGACATAACATTAAACATTCACTATATTGAACTATTTAAAACAACCTTGAAGGAAAAATAAAAATTATAAATAATTAAACAGGATAGAATGTCTAATGCTAAAATCATAATATGGCAGTGGCAATTAACAGCATAGAACCATTAAAACCAAACAACTCCCCTGCCAAAGTAGTTGCAGAAGAGAAATGGCTCTAAAAGAATAGCAGGATGATGCCAACCAGATCTCTAATGGAAGTGAATTCCACAGTTGGGGCGCTATTGTAGAAAAGGCCCCTTTCCTTGCTGTCTCCCCTTTTACTTCACTAGGGAGGGAATATGTAGGAGGGCTTTAGATGATGACTGGTGATCTGTCTGGGACATACGGAGACAGGCATTCCCTCAGATAGCCTGTCCTCAAGCCATTTAGGGTTTTGTATGTTATTGTAAGTGCTTTGAATTGGGTCTGGATGGCAATCAGCAGCCCCTGTAGCCTGTGCAGGACTGGCATGATATGCTCAAGAAAATAAGTCCTTGTCAGCAGGTGTGCTGTCCTGATTTGGATAAGTTGCAGTGTCTGGACCGTTTTCAAAGGCAGCCCCGCATAGACTGCTTTGCAGTAATCCAGGCGCAAGGATACCAGTACATGGATAACCATAGCAAGGCACCACTCATGCAAGTAGTGATGCAGCTGATAGACCAGCCGAAGTTGGTAAAAAATGCTCCTGGCTACCGAGTTCACCTGAGCAACAAGTGACAACTAGGGATCCAGGAGCACTCCAAGGCTGTGAATCTTGTCCATTAGGGAGAATGCCACTCCATCCAGGACAGGTTGAAAGTTCCCTAGTTGGATGGACAGACTTCCCGCCAATAGTGTCTCTGTATCTTGACTGAGTATCAGTTTATTGAACTGCATCCAGTCTATTACAGAGTCCAAACACTGGTCAAGAGGGAACTCTGCCTCAAAAGGATTTGAAGAGAATGAGAGGTAGAGCTGAGGGTCATCAGCATACTGATGACAGTTCAGCCTAAACCTTCTGATGACCTCTCGCAGCGGTTTCATATGGATATTAAAAAGCATGGGGGACAAAATAGAGTCCTGAGGGACTCCGTGACACAAAAGCCATGGTGCAGAGCAAAAGCTCCCCAGCACCACCATCTGGAGACTGTCAGCCAGGTAGGAATCAAGACACCACAAATCAGAGCCACCAATTCCCAATCCAGCCAACCTTTCCAGAAGGGTACCATGATCGATGGTATTGAAGGCTGCTGAGAGATCCAGAAGAATCAACAGGGTCATGCTCCCCCTATCTGTCTCCCAGCAGAGGTCATCCCACAGTCTCCATTTCAAAAACAGTCCTGAGGCCCAATTGAAATGGGTCTAGATAACCTGTTTCCTCCAGGAGAGTCTGGATTGTCCAACCCACTCAATTACCTTACCCAGATAAGGTATTAGCAATTGGTCAATAGTTGTTTATGTCAGCTGGGTCCAGGCTGTTTCCTCAGTAGTTCAGCAACCACAGTTTTTGGAGCATGTGTATCACTCCCTCTCTCAAAGAGGCATTGGCAACCTCCTGGACCTAAGCTGTAACCCCCTCTTTCGGTTTTTCAATCAGTCGTGATGGGCAAGGATCAAATGAGCAGGTTGGTTGTGGATAGAACCCAGCACCCTGTCCACATCCTTGGGCTGCAATAGCTGAAATGCATCCGTTAGAATGGGACTAGGTGGCACTCTAGACACCCCTGCCAGAAAGCTAAACAAAGCTAATTCACAATTATTTTTGTACTTAAGGAATCGTAAAGGTATCTGTAGTTGAGGGATTAAGGTTTTCTGACATTTATGACGTTCACCTTTTTCCAAGCTAACTGTTAAAGACAAACAACTACCCCATCCTAATGGTGTAATCCTCCCCTAGCTGGGGTCCTGCAGGGAGGTGTGTTAGATACCTCTGCTGGGACACGTGTATAAGTCACATCATCCCTAACCAGCATTTCTAGTGGCCATGGCTAGAAGCTGTAGTCCAATGCAACTGGAGGGCACTATATATAATTAAATATAGGGGGAGACAGAGAGAGAGTGAGTTATAATGCAGTTATTTTGCATTTGGCCTTTTAAAATTACCTGTTGCAGACAGCTGTTAATGGATTGAAGCTGCTGCTTCACTATGGACACCTTAGTTGATTGTAAGTGTGTTAACTGATCTGCTTATATTTGCATATGTCTGCAAATTGTGGCTTGAATCCTGAGAAGTGCTAGTGGAAGGGAACCTTTGCATCTCCTTATCACCGCAGCAGCTTGGGTGTTGTGCAGGACTGCCTAGTAGTGTATTTCACATCCCTTGCTGTTCAGGAAGGTTTTCTAAAACTTTGGTGAGTCTTTTTGGGGTACAGGAGTCTGTGTGGAAAGAAGGTGGTGAGGAAGTCCCTTACCATGAGTTTCTTTTTGTTCATGGGATCCAAGTAATAGTTCTAAAGGAAAAACATGCCACATCCGTTTTTAGATAATGCATACCTATGTTGCAGTTTAAAAGAAGTGCTATCTCCTGAATTGAGCAAGGAGGGGGAATGCCTTTTCTAAGAAATAATCTGCCATCTACAGTTTTTCCTAGCACTTCAATATTTTCCTTAGTTGCCTACTGCCAGTTTAATCAGGGACATCTTTTTTAGTTAGGAAAAAATTTATATGATTTTAAATGTTGTAATTCAATTTTAGATGTTTATTCAGTTGTTTTAATTCAAAAATAAAGCTGGAGCATGATGGCAATTATCAGCATATTGTTTAATGAAAGAGGTGAAGAGCTAAACAGGAGTCGTTAAAGTAGCCTAGTTGCTGTTTTCTGAATTTTAGGCATATATTCTGTTAATTTCTTCTACTGACTGATGCATGCTGGGTGGAAAAGATGCATTTTCAGATGGCAATCTTTGAGTAAAGAATATATAGAGTTCTTTTATAGGTGGAAAAAGTAAAAAGTAACCTAACAATGCTATGTGTTTCAACAGCATCTAAATAAAAGCTACAATACAGATGTTCCTCTAGTTCTAATGAACTCTTTCAACACTGATGAAGACACAAAAAAAATCTTGCAGAAATACAGCCATAGTCGTGTGAAAATCTACACTTTCAATCAAAGCAGGTATGGACAACACTGCTTTTGGTCATAAGTGATACCATTAATTGCATTAATTAATGGTATTATTTCTTACATTGTGAACTGTAAATTAGCTTGGGCAACAAACTTTTGTTGAGGTGTAGTTTTATCCAGATGTTTTAAAAAGATTGGTTAGAAACAACAAGCCTAACTAAAATTGCAAGATGAGATGTGGAAGTTTCTAGGCAATTATAGTATTGATATCTATGTGGCAACAGGCAGAAGGGCAGCAAATCATGACACATTTCTGTCATGTATGGAAATTAGTGCAGATTAGTTATTGGTAATTTTGAAATTACCTGCTTTAAGAAACCATTTTAAATGTACAAGGGGTGAATTTGGTAATCAAGGATGAGTAAGAAAGGCAAATACTTACCACCTTCCAATTTAGTTCTGTTTGGCAAATTTGAAGCATATTTACTGTAATCTTCCCCGCACTCATTTCCCTAGATTTCTGAGATACCTTGGATGACAGGTACTAGTTCCCCCATGTAGCTGGAGGTTATGGATGACCAGCTTTCCATGGAGTTAGAGACATTTTTAAGAAGCCTACATCTCATGTTTTCTTTTAAAATTACCATTTGAGTTGAAATAGTACCAGAACTCTCAAATATGCACATAATTTTAATCTGAACATCCAAATTCCATGCAGTTTATGGCTGTTAATATTACCTCCATGTCCTGAATGTCTGCCAAAATGTCCTGTAGTACCTGTTCACATTTCAGGCAATATCCTGACTCATCTGGTGGCTTAAAATCTTTCTGCTTTTGCAGGTACCCACGAATTAATAAGGAGTCTTTGCTTCCAATAGCAAAAGATGTGTCTTATTCAGGAGAGAATACAGAGGCTTGGTACCCCCCAGGTCATGGGGACATCTATGCAAGTTTTTATAATTCAGGATTACTGGATACTTTTATCGATGAGGGGAAGGAGTACATTTTCGTGTCCAACATAGATAACCTTGGTGCCACTGTTGATCTGTACATTCTCAACCACCTGATGAGTTCACCCAATGGAAAACGGTGTGAATTTGTTATGGAGGTCACCAACAAAACTAGAGCAGATGTTAAGGTAAAAACAAGTATTTATTTCAACTATGTTTTTTTCCAGGTAAAGCCTGTGTACTTTTTGTTGTCAAATCAGTTACATAACAATATAGCTGATATACCTGTTACATTCTCCAGTCACAACAAACTAGTTCCATGGAAATGTATGTCTTTTTTCACCAGTAAGTTCACAATGCCCTGAATTGGCTCCAAAATTCTGCAGTGCAGTGATGAGGTAGCAAATAATATTCTAAATGGGAAAGGATCATGCTATTTTACTGTGGAACTACTAACCCCTTTATTTGCCTTTTGTCACTGCTGTGAGAAGATGGAAGAGGAGGCTACTCTGAAATGTTGGATTTTTTTTCAAAATTGTATGCATTCACTTATGTGAATCATCTCATTGTAGCTATGAAATTCTATTGGGGTGCTACAAAGTGTTTACTACAGGTCAATATTTGGGAAGAAACTGTTTTGAGTCATTATGACAGCTGTGTTATAGAAGTTTTTAATTTGTAACTAAGCTGAACTGAAGTGCTATATTCTCTTGGGGTACAGTCCAAATAAGGATGCTGGAAGCCTCTGAACTCAGAGGATTACAGGCATCCTATGAAGGCAGGAGGAATGCAGAGGTGAAGGTCACCTCCATACTCTGACCACCCTGAAAAACACAGCGATGGTTGATTTTAGCTGTCTAAGGAGTATACCTCAGAGCAGGAGGGAAGCTTGCTGAAGTGCCATTAGGTACCTTGTAACTTGGCGACGTTGTCCGGATCCCTCTTCTCCCTGCCCAGAATGTCCCTACAAGCCCTTCACCAAAATTATTCTTGCAGAAGCAGCTGGCACAGTTATTTCCACACTGGCTTCACAGGGGGAAGTGGGATTGGAGTTCTGATTACAAACTACGTGGACAGAGTGATTTTCTGACCTCATGTCTGGGGTTCTGATCAATCTTATGTCATCTAGATGCTGTCTAGTGATCAAATGTTTGTTAGATATTTGCTTACACACAGTTATAGAATTCCATTTCACTTAGATTTGTTCTGTTTCTCCAGGGTGGTACACTCACACAGTATGAAAACAAACTGAGGCTAGTAGAAATAGCTCAGGTGCCAAAACCACACGTCGATGAATTCAAGTCTGTTTCAAAGTTTAAAATATTCAACACAAACAACCTGTGGATTTCATTATCTGCAATTAAACGGCTGCAGGAACAAAATGCTATTGATATGGAAATTATTGTCAATCCAAAGGTAAGCTTATGGAACAGGCTGAAACTGTAGGGTTGGAATAGTAGATGAAGTATTTCAAGGAGTATGTCTGCCTATCTTTAGAAATTCATAAGCTATTTTTAATATTTAAGAAATTCATCAAAATTGAACTAGAAATGTTTGACTATTTAAAAATATATTCATAACCCATATTGTGTTATCTGAGTACCTTTCTTTACAATTTTGAGTTATACAGCTTAGGATGTTCATCAGTTTTTAAACATGAAATCAACTTATACTGAAATGGATCTGCTTTACTAAGGTATATGCCATTTTGGACATATGGATAAAGTTGTATCTGGTTTACAAGTCCCCAATAGGTTATCCTTTTAATAGTAGGATGTTTAGAGGACCAAATGAATAAATTTTTTAAAAATAACTGTAGGATGTGTTTTAGGGTTTTTTGCCCAATTTATGCTCATCCCTTTGTGATTTGAATGTGGCACACTTAAATTATGAACAAAAGGTACATGTTTGCGAGCTATAGTTTAGATGAAGGCACTCAATTATTTGTTACTATTTTGGTTCTGTTTTTAATTCAAGCCATTGTGAGCTTACTCCGTAAGGGATGAGTAAGATAGATGAAATTGCTGAAAACCTCTAACTTGTGCTATAGATACTGATTTAATAAAATAGGTTTTCTTACAGGGATTGGTCCTGACTGGCACAGCTTCAGCATGCAGTGAAGGGTCCCTGTAGGCACTGGATAATAAAGGCTAGTTTCTTCCATTTTCTCACAGGGAGCCTGTACAAATGGTGTGGAATGGAAGGCCTGTACACATTTCCATATTCATCTAGATCCTGCTTTCCCTTTGTGGTCAGGAACCTCAAGCTCTGAGCAATTGGGACGGACTAAGCTGGTGGAGATAATGTGGAGCAAATGCAGGCCTCTCATTCTCCACCATGGCTTCATGTTGGATGCCCACGCTGATGCAGCAGGAAAAAAGGAATAATTTCCATGCTTGGGTACTCTGCCCACTGTAGACTGGGTCAAACACATAATTACACCCTTTTTATTGCGATGCATTTTAACTTCTAATGCTGTGTGACCCTGCTGTGGAAAGTCTAGTGTTTCAAAAGACTAAAATTTTCATGTCAGGCTCAAGTGAATATGCAGAATTTGAGTTCAGTTGATTTTTCAGCTTGTGAATCCATGAGTTTCAATTAAAATTTTCTCTTTCAGACTTTAGATGGTGGTTTAAATGTTATTCAGCTGGAGACTGCTGTTGGTGCTGCCATTAAAAGTTTTGAGAACTCAATGGGAATAAATGTACCCCGTAGCCGTTTCCTGCCTGTCAAGACTACATCTGATCTTCTGCTTGTCATGTCTAACTTATATAGCCTTAATGCTGGATCTTTAACAATGAGTGAGAAAAGAGAATTCCCCACCGTTCCACTTGTTAAATTGGGAAGCTCTTTCACTAAGGTGAGCATAGGTTTCTGCTTGTCCTTTTGATCTGAATCAGGCTAAGTTGTGGAGTTACTCAACTGGTGTTTGGAATCAGTAATAGACCAGATGAAGGTCCATCCAACTGTGTTAGAGGATGGTTAGAGTATTAGTAAGTGTTCCTCATATTACTGGGAAGGTTGTAGATGTGACTGTAATCCCCCCTTAAAGGGGCAGCTCTGCAGTCTGGATATACTGATGGATCCAGCAGTGTTGCTGAAACGCTAAGTTGTTCTTCTGATATACTGCCCCTCTCACTAGCTAAGCCTGTGATCTCTCCTCCCCAGTAGATTTGATAACCCTAGTCCATTGCAATGTGGAGGACTGCTTTTTAAGACTTCTCTAAAACTCTGCAAAATGGAGCAGCTGGCTTCCTAATTGGGTCCAGCTATAAAGAGCATATCCCATGAGCACCCAAACAGTTAGCTACATTGATTACCAGTCTGTTTCTGGGCACAATGGCAAGTGTTGGGCATTAATTACAGAACCCTATACAGCTTTGCACCTGAGTACCTGAACAACAGTACCTACTGTATGAGCTGGCCTGAACCTTGGGATTTTCATGGAAGATTAACTGAAATTAGCTGACTGGAGAGGACCTTCTTGATTGTGGTGCCTTGCATTTGGAATGCATCTGTGAGCAAAACTCACTTCTGACTCTTAGGATGACCTTTCAGAATGAGGCAAAAGCTTTATTATTTGCCCAGGGCATCTAGGCAATTCAGAATATTGGATAGTCAAATTTTTTTATGGTTCAGCAGTAAACCAGTTTAGAAATTGAGCAGTATCACTTTGCTTCTTGCTGGTCTTTCTGTGTTCTAAGAATTTTACTGCTGGAATTTAATTTTTTTATTTAAATATTTATGCCACATTGAGTTTTTTAAGGAAGTCTAAAACAAGACACAAGAATAGCAAAATAGCAATCAATAAAGGCACAACCTATAATTTGATTTTAGTGTACTGCTGTTTTTTTAATGTGCACCATCCTTGAAGCTTATGCTGAAGGACAGTGTATAAATACACAAACTGCTTTTGTACTAATGTGACCACAAACAGAGTATGTGCTAGATTAGCGTGATAGAACTGATCTGCTATGGTACTACATGACTACTTTGGGAATGCTGCGATGGTAAGATTCTCTCTCTGTCTCTCTGGTTCTAAATATACATGGGGCTGTACCTTAAATCATTCCAAGGTCTGTCTTCCCTCGATCCTGTTTACACCACACAGGTGCGTGCATTGTTTCATCTGTTTATTTTTTCTGTTGCTAGCGGAGTAGCTTACACTGGGATTGCTAGTCCTACTTAATACAGTTTGAACTATACAGGCTTAAATGTAAAAAGATTAACTACCTCCTTGAAAATCTTAGCCCCTTCCACAAATGCTTGGTGGGGCCTTTGTATTTTATCTTTGTAAGCCATCCTGAGGCTTTTGCAAAGGACAGCATATAAATATCATGAATGAATGTACCTGACACTGTTCACATCATAGGTCAATTAAAGGTGAATGGAGTGTGCTTTTTTTCCTTTTCTATCTTTCCATGGTAATACTCAAATATATAATCAAATATATTTAATAGTAAATGCTAATACCATCTCCTTGTTCATCTTGTTTGATCTTTAAACAGTTATGTAGTCTTTTAACATCTACGTTCATCTGTATTAACTCGGATTCAAGTTAGAAAACTGGCACAATTGCTTCCACTTGCTTTATCCTGAGTGTCAACATTCTATCATTTTTCAAGCCACAAGTATTCCTGTTAAAACTTGCACTTTGTCTCTATCAATCTAAAATTGGTTGTAGGCCACTTTTAAAGATGGAACCTTCTCAAAATGGCATAGAAAATAAGCATCATAAGATATGTATATAATGAAAAGTCCATAAAACATGTTTCAGTGAAGTCCATTGATGATAATTGTTGTTATTACATTTCATTTTTATACCGCCCATACCCAAAACTTTCCCATCCAGATTTCAACCAGGCCCAACCCTGCTTAGCTTTCAAGATTAGGCAGGATCAAGTACTTCAGGCTATATAGAAACTTTCAGTATAGAAATAGTGTGAAGTCATGTTTGTACAGAACGTTCTCTAAAATGCACATTTTTGTATGTATGCAGCTTTGCTTAATATCTGCCTTTTTCTATGAAAGTTTTGAGCAAGAACAGCATCCCATCATTTAGAGAACTGCAGAATTTGAAGGACAACTGTGTTCTGATCTGCAGATTAGTCCAGAAAAGTGTGAATTATGTCAGCTTAAAACTGCAGGGCAAAGTTGTCCACCAACCCATCTTACATTTGCTTGCCTATTAAATCACCCAAACTATATAAAAATAAACTTATTCCCTTCATAACAATGGTTCTTTCCCTAGGCCAGAAACCTAATTCACCTTCAAGACTGCTACTGTGATAGAGAGAGTCAGTTGCAGTTCTCCATACCTTAAAAGCTTAATCTTTTGTTACAAGCCATATTAAATAACTGTTGAAAGTGACTGGATGTAATTGTCTTTATTTGGATGGGATCAGGAAACATGGGACAGTTACTTGGCTAAGTATGAAATGTTGTCTATACTTGAGTGTAGGCTTCAGTTGTGCAGTGGTGAATAACTGGCTATTATTCACTGAAGCTGGCTATCAAGCATCTCTCCTACGTTACTGCTACACCTGACATTTATATGCTAAATCTTGCAATGTTATTGTAAATTTTGAAAATTGTCTAGAAAACAGTTTCAGAGCATGGAGACTTCAGTCATCACAGTCCTATTTCTGTTTTTTGAAAAGGTTCAAGATTATCTGAGGAGGTTTGAGAGCATCCCAGACATGCTTGAATTGGATCATCTGACTGTTTCTGGTGATGTCACGTTTGGCAAAAATGTTGCATTAAAGGTTGGTCATACAGCATACATACAAAAGTTGTGTATAATGGCAATATGCATAGAAGGGTGCATTTGTAAGAATACTAATAAAATCTGTCACCTTAGTTTAACATTTGAACTTCATATAACTTTTTATCAGCTGCCTGCATCCAGTGAAGTTATTTAAATGAGAATTAAACTAATGATTCATTTCTAATGTGTCCACTTTTAAAATTTAAAAATAAACTTTATTAGACTGTGTTTTGGGAATGCAGTTTTAACCCAAACTATTGAATGCATAAGTTTCCCCCAGTAGTAAGTTAAACTTTTCTTTTTCAGGTGGAAAATGGGTTAAAAAAACATTATAGGAAGACTGAACACATAATTTTTGAGAAGTAGTTCAGGCTTCCTACATTTTTTTAAAGCAAATATTTAAAAAGGTTCACAACAAGCCAACTGGCTTGTAAATTACTTGCATTGTCCTGCATACAGATGAATTAATCATAATGGGTTATCATGTGAAATATTTAAAGGAAATGCATTCACTGCTTTATGAAAAATCAAATCTTAAGCTTTCTGACAGATATTAGAATGTCCTTTTTTGATGGAAAAAGAGACATCTGCAATGGTCAAAGTGGACAAACTGCATTCATGAATGCATCAGCAAGCTTATGAATGGCAGGGCTCCCCTTCCCCTTCCCACTGTCCAATTGGGCCAATAGGGTTAAAGTCAGAAAACCCTGTACCTGCTATTACTAATTGCTTGGTGTCTTATCTCAGTTGAGCTGAAGTGTTGATGCTAAAATAGGCTTCATATAAGAACAAAGCATGTATGAAATGCAATTATTACAGTATCTAGAACTAACTGTAGAAATTCTGGTAGTTTGAGATGCTGGGAATGCTAATTGCATAAACAAGGACTGTGCAGGAAATAAAATTCTATTAATGGGTGATTAAAGTTTGTATAACCATAATTACCCAACGCTTCTACAGAGAAACCTAGACAATGTAGTTTCTTCTCCATTTTTCTCATCTAGCAGGGAACATATTTGGGAGCAGTAGCAAAATGTGGCTACAGGAACTATTAAAAATGTAAATATAGCCAACCATTTGAAGGCTAATTGGATTTCGACAAATTCCATCCCAAAAAGTGGGATTAATTTTTGAATAAGCATGTTTAGAATTTCAGTACAAGTCACTTTTTTGTACTTTTTGAGATGCGATAATTCCATCATTCTACATAATCTAAATGTGGACTGTCATGGCATTTATACTTGGTCTACGAAGGCAATACAAAAACACTTGGAAAAGAATAGAATTGTGTTTCATGCCAAAGTATTTAGAAAATACTTTGAAAATGAAACTAAGTGTCCCCACAATTGTAAAACATAATTGACAGTTTGAGAGTATGTGGCATTGAAACAAGTAACTGCATGTTTACAAATATCAGTGTCAACAGTTTAGTTGGATTCATCTTACACTGGTTACACCATGACACTGAAAATTAGGATACTAATTGTTCTACATCAAACGTTGCCTGAATTGTTTCAAAAGTTATCAAATAAGAATGAATTTAAAGTGAACCCAAGGTGAAGGATTCAATTTAAGGTTTCAACAGCTGTTTCAAAAAGTCACACAAATGTATTTTTCTATATTTAGGGAACAGTCATCATCATTGCAAACCATGGTGACAGGATAGATATCCCACCAGGAGCAGTACTGGAGAACAAAATAGTATCTGGCAATCTTCGGATCTTGGACCACTGAGGTGATTTGAACTGATTTGTTGCTGGTAGCCTACTAAAATAGTACCCGAAATGAAAGAACTCACAGGCATTAGATTTGTACACAGAAGGCCTATACCCTTAGTCAGTGTGCCGACAGTATTATTTTAAGTAGTTTTCTGTATTATTTTCAAGTGAAAAAAAAATGAGATGCAAATCTTTAAATGATTCTGCAGGTCAATTAAAATCTAAAGTGCAATATTGTTTGTCTTAAGGCAGGCAGCTCTTATGTAAGAAATTTAACATGTTGATGTTCAATGATTTTTGAAATATTTGTAACTAATAAAAGCTGTGAAGCAATATGCTGTTAATTATGAAGTGCAATGAAGCATAAGTGGCACCCGTAACAAATACCCAAATGGTTTGCTGTTAAGGCAAGTAAAATGTTTAAAATATCTAGAACATAATTGTTAACCTTGTTTGCCTTCTATCGTTAGTATGTAAAACTACACTGTTCACAGCAGTCCCTCTCTTTTCACAGATAGTTCAATACCTCACTTTTATTGTGCTCTAAAGCTAGAGTTGTTGCTCTCCTGTATTTTCCCAAAGAAAGACACCTTGAATGAAACATCAGAATGGATACTTTCAGCCACAGTCGTCACCCCATATCTTCTAGATTTCTCTCTTTAGCTGTTAAGAATTCACGTAAACATTTAAAGATGTAACAGATCACCTCTACCATGTACTTATGTTCATACAATTAAATCATGTGTCAGTCTAAAGGAGGAAATTTCACAGCTGTACAGGTACTAAAATAAATACTATCAAATCCTCTCTCTGTGTAATTGGTTTTTGCTGCTGGTGTTATTAAAGCCAAACTTAGTGGTTAAAGAAGTTGCTCTCTTAAACACATTATTTTTACAGCTTTATTTTGATTGACAATGACTTCTGCTAACGTTAACAGAATAGGCATGCCCGTTTGAAGAAAGTATAGGCACACAAAACACAGACTGTATCATTGAACATAATCATCACGAGAGTAGGCACTCACTGGGTTTAGGTAAAAATGTTGTGAAGTGAAATACGCAGGCACTTCATTACTTAATACAGGCAGGTACCAGCCTGTAAGGTAGCATAAGTTAGTCATACGTCATCTACTGCTGATATTGTGAGTGTAGGTCTGACTACACATTTACCTTTTAAAACATCTTTACCTGGATGGGCAGGTGTGAGAAAATGGGAGGCAAGGATTATATGGAAACTGGCAGATTTATAATCCATGGAAAAGGTTCTTATAAGTACTCAAAAGTTAAAATTACACACCCTAGGTCATCATAACCAAAGCAGCTCTAACCGTCTTGCTAGCTTGCCATTATAAGAAACAAAGGCAAATTCTCCAGCTTCTATTTCAAGATTGGAAAGTTATTTAAAATATTGTCCTCTGGTGGCAATATGAGGAAAAATTGCAAGAAATACTTTGGAACATGAATGCACCCTAATAAATTCAAATCTATGTAGGTAATCAAGACTTTATAGAAACATCTGTAAAAAAATAATTTAACTGTATAGTTTTATAGTGAAAACATTTTCTAGAATTCAACAGCAAGAATTTTCAAACTACCATCATTAAATAACGGTGAGACACCATGTGAATTTCATTGCACTAGAGGAAATGCAAAGCATCTTTTTAATATAAAGATATACAGAGCACTCTCTAGCCAACAACAGCTGTGTTACAGCTATGTATTCTTTTGGATTTGGTCCAAAGAAACCTGAGCCTGGTTCCAGAAAGAATGAAGAAATTGCACAAAGAACCAATCACTTCTTTCTTTACCAAGGGACTCTCTCAAAGTCATTCCTGTAGTTAGTTTCACATCGTATTTCCAGAGGCTCTCCTTTTCTAGGTTCCAGGTAATCTTCTGCAAAGAAGAATATCCATGCCAAGAGGCATCTTTCACTGGATTATCACCTCTTCTGTTCCCATATTTCAGCCATGTTTAAGTCTAAGGTTTGAAGCCCTTTCAAAGCTTGGAGGTTTCCAGTGTAAAACGCTACATCTGCTGTAACCAATCTATTTGAAACAGAAAAAGAATCATTAAGACACAGGGTACCCAGACATGTTTGTAAGAATACTGGACAAAAACTCAGCCCTTCAAGCTGTGTGTTGTGCGCTTGATGTTTTGCTTTGTGCCTTATGCCTTCTCTTCTGTGCTGGAATCTGTGTATTCTAACAAGATAAATACTGTCATCTACTGTGGAACAGGATGTCAGTAAAATTGCTTTTGAATTTCATCCATTTATTTATTATATTTCTATAGCACACATCTTCATGAATAAAATGGGCAAAACCAATAGTACAATTTGTGTTTCATAGTAATATAAAATGGATTGAATCCAGACAATTGCGTTTAGAGAGGCCCCACTGAAATTAACGAGGCGTTAGTAATAACAGAAGTCCTACTGGTCTCAATAGGTCTACTCAAAGCATGACTATGTCTCATAGCCACCCTTTATCAATTTACTTTTATTTATTTTCTTTCAATAATAATTAGTCGTGTTATGGTTTGTGGCTTTCAGGGTGATACACAATTTTAAAAATCTCAAATCCATATAATCAAAAGCAGCAGAAGCTAATAAAAGTTAACTAAAAATAGTATTTTAATATCTTTAAAATACTAAAGATAAAACAACTTGAAAACAGCATAGAAGTCTTAACAAAAAGGAACACAATGCATCCGAGAACAAAAAGGTATTTAGTTGGCACTGAAAGGTTAACTATGCAGGGGGATCTCCCTGGGAAGAGTATTCTATGACTGAGAGACTGCTACTGCAAAGGCCAGTTCCTGATTAGTCACCCACAGAAGTCAGCATGAGAGGACATGTGGAACAGGGCGTCTTGTATGTCAGGGTTTGGTAGAGATTGTGAAGGGTTTTGCAGGGTAGCACAAATTTGCAGAACTGAACCTAGAAATCAGAGGTATGCCTGGCTTTGGGCGGGGGGGGGGGGGGGCAAACTGCTTCCCTGGCATTGCCACTCCGCCAACCAGTAGCAACAAAAGGAACTACCGTGGCAGTTGGCCAGGCTAAGCTACACACACCAGTTTAAACTCGTGTTTTTTTCTCAGCTTTTCAGTAGAAGCAAAATGAGCCAAACGCAGTCTTTGTGGGACACAGCAGCAGCATCACAACATGCCTGTATCAAATCTGTTGCACTTACTACTAGTCAAATGTTAAGAAAGGAGCAACAATGGCAAAACTTTTAGCAGTGCAGGTATGTTTTAGAGTCACCCAGCAGTGTTGTCCATGGTCCAGCCCTGGCAATAGCACAGCTGGAACACTCATGATCAAAGTACCCAGTTCCAGACAGTACTTAGGCTGCCACATTTTGCACTAAGAAAAATGCACCACATTTCAGACACCACATACAACATGTGGTAGTAATCTAAATGGGAGGTTACCATGATCACTCAAAATAAGGCAGTCACTAGCCTGGTAGGGTTGTAGCTGGCATTGTAGCCTAAGCAGCTGAAAGGTTCCCTGTCCCACAAAAGACACCTGGGCTTCTAATGATTAAGATGGAGCTATACACACCCTCGAGCTATGAACAAGATCCTTTAGGCCGAGTTCGTCCCCTTCCAAAACAGGACAAACACTACCACACATTAACAAGTACCTTCCTCTTTTCTGATCTGAGTTTGTTAGTTCTTACCCTGTCTATTACCACATGGGCTCTGTTTAAGCCCCACCTGGAACTGATGTGCTGCTGCTGCTGCTGCTACACTGCATTTAAATTCCACCTTTTATCTTCTGAAGAATCTGGGGCAGCACATATAGCTTCATTTTACTCTCACAGCAACCTGTGAGGAAGGCTAGGCTGAAAGGCCATGTCTGGCCCAAAGTCACCCAGCAAGCTTCATGGAACTAAGAAGAAACCAGAATCTCCATCTCCCAGGTCCCTAGTCCAGCACTTCAACCACTACACCATGCTGTCAGAAAGCTGCATGCTAACAGAATCATCTAACACTTCAAACGACCTCACTCAGCCATTTCATGCGGATGTTAAAGGGGATAGGGACCAGATGGAATCCTATGGGATTCCAAAGCAAAACCCTTTTGGAAACAAGCATTCAAGTTGAATGGAACCGCTGTACTAACTACACTTGCCTCAGACCACCTCTGGAGCAGGATGCTGTTGTCAATGTGAAATGAAGTTCCAGAGAATCAAAAAAGTGGTACACACTCTTGTCTCTTTTTCTGGCAAAAGGCACAGTACAGTACAAACCAAACATGGAAGAATACTTAGAAAACTCTGGGGAAGAGACAAAAATATATTCTTGGCTTCAAGCAATTCTGGCTGCCCTAGTGACACCATGCTCACTACTGTAGTGACTTTAAAAAGCAGCAAAGCAAATATACCTCTATCACAAAGAATTCACAATTACCAAGTTTTGCATCTTTGTCTAAGAAGCAAATGAGGTGGCCCTGGCACTCATTCTCTTCCTAAAGTGACAAGGCTTTGAGGCTGATCCAACACCAGCAGACTGTAGCTTGCAGCAAACCTGGGGCAAATATTGCACTCCTTAAGAGCCCTCTGGGCCAGGAATTCCCAGAAAGGAATGCCTTCACTCAGAATCAGCAATGAAGGACAGGCTGCTCCTTTCCACTTCTGCTGGCAGTATTGTGAGAGCTGGGGCAGATGCAACAACTAGCCTCTTCCACCTTCATTAGGAGAGCCATTGCTGTTTGATCTGCTGCCGCCCTAAGCCAGTGCCAGCCCTGGTGGGGAGCGTCATCCAACACATCCCTTGAGAGTTCTCTGGGCCAAGGACTCCAAATGCTACTCTAGGGGCTCTCCTCACTTGGGCCTGGCTGGTGAAGTAAAGTGCTCTCTTTCTCCCTTTTCTGTGTGTTTGATGCTGTTTTGTTTGCAACTTTAGTGGCTTCTAAACAGACTTCCCAGCCAGATTTGGCTGCACAGTAACATTACCAGGGCAGATCAGAATAGAACCTCTCATCCTGATGGGACAAACATTTTCACCCTGTTCTGCAGTTCCTCACAGGCCCAGAATAATAATTGAAATGAAGAGTGCTCATTTTACAAAAGAAAAATGCATAAGACATTGCTGCCTTTCCATTGCAGTGCAGAAGTTTACCACAGAAAGGAGACACTGTGTAACATACCCATGTTGAGGTCCTCCATCATTGACTACATTTAAGTGAGCCAACTGCCTCTTCAAGTGAAATTTGCAGCTTGCATTAATTCTTAAAAACAACATCTAGAGGACAATATAGGAGATGTTAACTATATGGAATACAGTAAGATAGCAAAATTTTTATTGCTTTGAAGAACAACTACAAAGAATACTCAAATAAGTATTTGTAAGGATAATTTGCAGTTACAATGAAGAGTGACTTTAGTTTGTATTTAGAGAGTGAGACAGGAGATTCTATAACTGAGGATCTTCTTGCAGCCCTGTGTCAAACTAGGCAAGGAGAGCCCCACTGAAGACCTCCCTCACACCGGCTCTCCACTCAATACTCACCACCACCACTATTGCAGCAGGCTGCCAGGGGAAGCACAGCCATCCAGCAGCCCTGTGAAAAGATGATCCCCTGCCCCCGCAAAAGGCCCTCTCCAGTCTTTCTCCTGTGCATCATTTTCTTTGTTTTGATTGTAAGCCTGTGAGCAGGGACTGTTACATTTAATTGACTGCAAGCAAGCTACTCTGGGAGTTTTTTTTAATGAGCAGGGACATAAACATGCTTCAAAATACATGAATAGTATTACATATTATTCAGTAATATAGCAGCAGTTTACTTAGGCATAGCCCTTGAAATCAGACCTTAAGATCTAGCTGACCCAGAGAGAGTGAGAAGAGGAGATACTTCTGAGAACAAATCTCCAAGTTTAGGAGTCACTCGTGGGATACAGATGTCTCTTCAACAGCCAAAACTTGTGTACAACAGCACAACTACAGAACAGGCGCGCCAACCAAAACCACTCACCTGTGTTTGCTCTTCAGGAAGAAGGTCATATATTGCTTCATGCATCTTTGCCATTTGTTTACAAATATTCCTGAAGCAGGTGGAAGGAACAGGGGCCTTTACCTCATACTGTAAATAAATACCGAGAACGTGTCACTATATGTATGCATGCTTTCTGGAGCTTAGCTATTACTTCTGGTTTTCATAGTAATAAGAATCCTAATTAAACACACTGATATTTGCTTGCTGACTGTTCAAGCTTCTCATTCACAGTTATGGTTTGCCAAAGCACTCATACATGGTTAGCATATGCTAAATTTTTAAACCAAACAGCCAATACAAAATCTCACCTTTTCCATTCCTACCCATTTGTTGCAAGGCACTGCACCACAGAGCACACATTTTCTGCATCATATGCACAGCAAGACACACAGAAGGAAAATGTCTCGCATTGTTTGTCAGCAGATGCCTGGATCATGCAGACAGTTTAAAAGCTTTCAGTATGCAATGAGCAGTGTTTAATCAGATACCCATAGTTCTTCATCGTGGCCTCTGTGCATCACACATATGGGTTGCTGCACCTGCACAGTGCCTAGGCCGGAAGATTAGAAAGCTAACGCTTTTTGGCGGGAAAACTCCGCTCCCCTCCCGCTTCGTGGTATAAATAGAGCGGAGTGTCTGCCATTTTACTCAGTCTTTGCGACCGCCGTTTGCTGTGCCTTGTGCCTATTCGTCTCTCGCTATAGATCTGTGCCTCTTCGTTGTTTTTTTCTCAAAAACCTTAAACTCCTCTTGCTCCAAGTTTGTTCTTCTTCCCGATTCTGTCCTCTTTTCTTCATTTTTCCGCGATGGCGCAGCGGGCGGCATTCCGCAAATGTATTGAATGTGGATC